GCGGCGTGGCACTACTTGTTTTTTTTTTACCCGAATGTTGTATTATGGCTTGTGACAATTGTGCCCGAGTATTTACCGACAATCGATAAAGTATGTATGTATGCCAGCACATCAAGCTACACATTGACGTATCTTGTTCCTGGAGGCGATTTTCGAACAAAAATGTGTAGTCTGTTGTGTCGTTGTCCGTACAATTTTTATTTTAACGCTTCACATCCAGCACGAGTACGCAAGTAAAGATCACAAAGACATAGCACTAATCAATCTAGAATGATCTTTTATACTTAAAAAAACCTAACACAATATTGAATTTAAAATTTAATATTATTAAATTTTCATTTTCATTTTTTATAATTTTTCACACATTTTTACGTAATGGTATCTTATTTTTGTTTATCTTCGTATGTTAAATTAATAACAGTATTATAATGTATTAGGACACTGTGTGACTTGTAATGTTATCGCTTAAGTTACCATACCAATAATGATTTAATTTTCAATTCGCCACTGTAGCTGCAGCCTAGTAATTAAGTTGAAAGTTAAACGGCCCATTCAGGAAACTGCTTACTCATTATCCTGCGAATGGGCCACGTATGGAGTCTCTCAAGACCCATTGCAGGCTTCCAAGATGGCTTGCACGCTACGACTACATTCATAATCCTGCATTTCGTCGCAGTCGGCAAGGCGGATTGCAATGCAAGATAGTGAGTGCCCCTTTTTAGGATCGTATTCCAGAACTCTACTCAGTGCTCAAGTCATGATTTAAAGCACTAGAAATACGTAGAAGTCTATTTCCCTTGAGTAGAATTCTGGAATACGACTCTGAGGGTCGTATTCTAGAACTCTATTCAATGCTCAAGTCAGGATTGCACTGGCAACACAAGCACTGGAAATACGACCCTAATGGCAGGGACTTGAGTATGATATCAAGTGCTTTAAACCATACTAAAATCCTAACTTGAGCATTGAGTAGAGTTCTAGAATACGACCCTAAGAGTCGTATTCCAGAACTCTACTCAATACTCAAGTCAGGATTGCACTGGAAACACAAGCACTGGAAATACGACCCTAATGGCAGGGACTTGAGTATGATTTTGAATGCTTTAAACCATACTAAAATCCTGACTTGAGCATTGAGTAGAGTTCTAGAATACGACTCTGAGGGTCGTATTCTAGAACTCTACTCAATGCTCAAGTCAGGATTGCAATTGAAACACAAGCACTGGAAAAACGACCCTAATGGCAGAGACTTGGGTATGATTTCGAGTGCTTTAAACCATACTCATATCCTGACTTGAGCATTGAGTAGAGTTCTGGAATACGACCCTGAGTCATCTTAACGCTATCTTCCGTTTCATGAATAATTATTATTGTTTGCCATTAGTATTTCTCGTCCTCTTGAGGTCGCTCAATAATCGATGCTGGTGTTGAGTTAATTAAATATGATTAATCATCAATGGTCGAAAAAAGGTGTTCCTTATACATAGATACATGTATAAATGTAATAAATAGCTATAACGAGTGATATAGAGTAGTTAAAACGAACCAAATTTTAATAATTCATTACTTTTTCGAATTCTGGATTTCCGGAAGAAAAAACTTCTTTATTCTATTGAAGATAAATTTAATAGTTCTGTGTATGCATATTAAAATAATTCCTTTGTGTTTCATCATGTTTCATTTTATATACACTTTCAGACATATAATTCGAGCCACCACACATTTTCAGTATTAAGTGACCTAAGCTTAAACAATACTTAAACAATGTTTGATTGATCAACAACTATTATGCAATTTTGAAACTAGTATACTAAACGTCTTTTAACACTATTTTTGTATTCTAGCCCTTTACGACAAAAATGCTCGGTGTCTCGAATTATGTGACCGGGAGTATATTTTGTCTCAAATTGTTGCTATCGCAGGCTGCGACGTTTCTTAACATGGTTCACTATTTAATGTGTATTATTGTCTATGTGGAATATCCTACATAAATAAAAAAAATTAACCATTTTTTGAAATCTTACATAAAATTTGTGGTTACGAGTTTTTTCCGGGTTCACGAGTCTTTCACTTGTGTTTTTCTCTTGCTTGCTTGACTTGCTTCGCGCATACGCAAAGATCTGCCGCGTACAGGTAGAAATGTTCACGAGTCGACTCCAACCAAATCAAAGGCAAGGCGCAAATCTCTCACAAGACTCATGAACGCCTTTGCGCGGAAGGCAGATTTCTACGCCGTGTACGCAGCCAGCGCAAGCAAGCGAAAAACACATGTGAAAAACTCGCGAACCCGGCATTAAACTACATTAGATGAGCCTGTCCAGCGATACTCAAATATCATATCTTTAAAATGTCGCTGATGTCCCGAAAATTTCAATGCCCGATAATTTCAAAAATTATTATTTTGGAAATTATGCGGAGTTAGTACTTGATTTTTTATGGAATTAATCTTCATGTGCAGCTAGGTTTTAAAGTAAGTTGCAAATCCAACTAACATATAATAAAGCCAGAAAAAATAAAGCAAAAAAAATGTTTTTAATATGCCTACAAAAAAGGCCTTTGAAAAAACAATCTAACGATTTACCTGCGACGATTTGGTTACTAGAATTTCATTTTCAAAAAATACCAAATACGGGACATATTTTAACTTTGGTCGAGTTTTCTCCAAACTATTGTGTTTTACTCATACGAAACGTTTTCTCTGATTTTATATTTTAAATAAACACTGTGCAAGACGACGACGTCAGTGTAAATGAGGCCTTAAAAAAAGTTAAACTTAATTTTTTTGAGGTACATTTTAGATTGTAACATTTTAGTCGATATAGTTTAACAGAAAGAAAGAACTATATAATATAATCAAGTAATCGGGTTCTTTCATGTTACCCAAAACTTGTGATGAGTTAGTTGAAAAAAAGCGGATCAAACTTTTCGCTTGCTTGGGGTCGGGCGTGTTGTCTTGCCTTTTCGCCGCATTGCAAAATTTAATTTTTTTTAGCGTATGGTGAAACGTTATTTTGCGTCGATTACCAAGTGAAACGTGAAAAGCTTAGGGTGAAACAATAGCAATATATCCTGTTACCTCAATTATATTCTAGTTTGTTACAAAAGCGTTGTAAGTCATGTGTAGTGCAGTGTTTACAACAACGTCGTTCGATTGTCCTTCGGTGCCTTTTAAAACATGGCTTTTGACGTTGTCGGCGGAGATTTAAATTCATGTAAATCTGTTGATATAATTGATGAACAAACTGTCGTCGACGATCTCTCAATAGTTCCACTTGAAAGACACGGCTTTGGTTTGTATTAGTTCATTAGCATTAGCGTGGCTGATAATTTGCCGGTTACACATTTTATTTACACCTGTTTATCAACAGTGCTAATTGAATCTATGAGATGTTCCGTCAAGCTTAAACACTGCAAAACGAATAAGTATATTAAAAGCTGTGCAATTTGTTGCATCACCAATGTTTATATTTTGTGCTCTTTGCTAATTGTAGTGTGAAAAGGTGTACATGTAGAGACTTATGTAATAAAATGTCATTATAAATTCCAGGAATATGTGAGTGTTGTGGTCGTGTAGGGCGTGTTAGAGATTTTTATATAAAAAACAATAAGGTCTGCTCACTGCAATGCCATAAAAGTTGTACCAGTAAGAGGCATAGGTACAACTGGAAATTTAAGCTCATGGAAGGAACTGAACATATGGAGGGAATGATCCCTTTAGAGCCTCTGCCACAGCTGCAACAGTGGCATGCCACACTTAATGATTTGATACAGGTTATTATTTTCATATCTGTTTATATCACTTACATTCAAGTTATTACTCATTGATATATTTGGCGTATATTTGCATGTATACTAGAATCTCTATTTAAAATTGTTGCAATAGTGTCTTATCTCATGTCAGTATCACCAAAATAACATTGTGTGTGTGATCTTTTATTTATTTTTAGTATCTACTTTACATAAAGAGAGCAATAAAATGATTGAGAATGGAGTACATTAGAGTATATAGGCTGCCTTTTTAATTTAACTGCCTCTGTGGTCTAACAATCACCACTGCCACGCAGAGATCCCA